ACGACAGAGCTGTTCGACATTCAAGAAGAATCCTTCCAGCAGTGCATGGAAGCGAGGCTAAAAAAAATGGCCGTAACGACGGAGCTGTTCGACATCCAAGAAGAATCCTTCCAGCGGTGCATAGAAGCGAGGCTAAAAATGGCTGTAATGACGGAGTTATTCGACATCCAAATTGAATCCTTCTAGTAGTGCATGGAAGCGAGGATAAAAAAATGGCCGTAACGACGGAACTGTTCGACATCCAAGAAGAATCCTTCCAGCAGTGCATGGAAGCGAGGCTAAAAAAAAAAAATGGCCGTAACGACGGAGCTTTTCGATATCCAAGAAGAATATTTCCAGCAGTGCATGGAAGCGAGGCTAAAAAAAAATGGCCGTAACGACGGAGCTGTTCGACATCCAGGAAGAATCCTTCCAGCAGTGCATGGAAGCGAGGCTAAAAAAATGGCCGTAACGACGGAACTTTTCGATATCCAAGAAGAATCTTTCCAGCAGTGCATGGAAGCGAGGCTAAAAAAAAAAATGGCCGTAACGACGGAGCTGTTCGATATCCAAGAAGAATCTTTCCAGCAGTGCATGGAAGCGAGGCTAAAAAAAAAAATGGCCGTAACGACGGAGCTGTTCGATATCCAAGAAGAATCCTTCCAGCAGTGCATGGAAGCGAGGCTAAAAAAAAAAATGGCCGTAACGACAGAGCTGTTCGATATCCAAGAAGAATCTTTCCAGCAGTGCATGGAAGCGAGGCTAAAAAAAAAAAATGGCCGTAACGACGGAGCTGTTCGATATCCAAGAAGAATCCTTCCAGCAGTGCATGGAAGCGAGGCTAAAAAAAAAAAATGGCCGTAACGACGGAGCTGTTCGATATCAAGAAGAATCTTTCCAGCAGTGCATGGAAGCGAGGCTAAAAAAATGGCCGTAACGACGGAGCTGTTCGATATCAAGAAGAATCCTTCCAGCAGTGCATGGAAGCGAGGATAAAAAAAAAATGGCCGTAACGACGGAACTGTTCGACATTCAAGAAGAATCCTTCCAGCAGTGCATGGAAGCGAGGCTAAAAAAATGGCCGTAACGACGGAGCTTTTCGATATCCAAGAAGAATCTTTCCAGCAGTGCACGGAAGCGAGGCTAAAAAAAAAAAATGGCCGTAACGACGGAGCTGTTCGATATCCAAGAAGAATCTTTCCAGCAGTGCATGGAAGCGAGGCTAAAAAAAAAATGGCCGTAACGACGGAGCTGTTCGACATCCAAGAAGAATCCTTCCAGCAGTGCATGGAATCGAGGCTAAAAAATGGCCGTAACGACGGAGCTGTTCGACATCCAAGAAGAATCCTTCCAGCAGTGCATGGAAGCGAGGCTAAAAAAAATGGCCGTAACGACGGAGCTGTTCGACATCCAAGAAGAATCCTTCCAGCGATGCATAGAAGCGAGGCAAAGAAAAATGGCTGTAATGACGGAGTTATTCGACATCCAAATAGAATCCTTCCAGTAGTGTATAGAAGCGAGGCAAAGAAAAATGGACGTAACGACGGAGCTGTTCGACATCCAAGAAGAATCTTTCCAGTATTGCGTAGAAGCGAGGCAAAGAAAAATGGAAATGTGCTTTAGACCTGAAAGGGATTAGTTTGAAGGGGAAACCATATTGTTCGTTTTGTGGAATGGAAATAAAACTGTTTACGACACAAGATCCTTTACTTTTCAGACTGAATACGTATATACCTACTTCTTGATATATACTATAGCTTTACGTTGTGCAACATTTGATTTCATTCAAGTAATTTGGAACAGGAAAAAATATCCTCCCTGGCACAAATCAAGCGTCCTGAGGCTGCGAGGGTGATTCGGCCTCAGTACAGAATTAAAACATATCTTTTGATTAACCATCGCTTCCCAGGTAACAAAGCTACTTCTGATGCTAAACTCCATGAGAGCAACTCACTGCAGATTCTCGGGCTGAGATTTTCCACTGACATGAAGTGGAATTAAATAGCTGCATCTACTGCTAGGAAATTTGGTCCACTGTGTCTATCATCCACATTTACAAATCTACTATTCATCTGTGCAGTGAATACTGCTCCCATATCTGGGCCGATGCTCCTGCTGTACATCTCGAGATACTTGACAAAATCAAAAGAAGCATCTGCAATTTAATCGACTCTGACCTCTTATTTTTACTTTTTCAGCGACGTGGCATGGCTTCCCTCTGTCTTTTCTACAAATATTTTCATGGTAAATGCTCGGACAAACGCTTGGTGTCCGACTACATGAATTTAAACGTGCTACTAGATTGGCATCTACGTTTGGTTAGATTTGTTTTGTTCTACCGCATATCAACCTAAATGGGTTATTTAATGCGGACAAGATTTTTATTGCTGATTATATCTTTTTTCTTAATAAATGTATTGCTGGTAATATTTAAAAAAAATATATATTGCTGGTAATAATGTATTGCTGGTAATAATTTTTCTTCTACATATACATTGTTGGTAATAAATTTATACAAAAATGTATCGCTGGTACTTAAACCTATTTTTACACTTACATAATTTTTTGACTCCAATTTGAGGATAACTATTTGTCCAGAGCTGGGACCCGCAAAAGGTGCTACCACGCTCCTCCAAACCTTTTGATCAGAGGTCTTGCTGTCGGATGTATTTTGTCGTCTTACTCAGGACGCAGATTTAGTTTATTATCATACCAAGGACGTTTGAAAACAGTGATAGTATAGCGATAAGATAGCAACGTTTCGACAGTATGAATGAGGTTGCAAGGCGGAAAATAATTAATCACTCAGAAAGCAGGGTAAATGCTCTTGAACTCTGCCAACGCTGGAATGTGAAGATTTTAGAGTTCCAGCTCATTCCCTTCGCATTCCATTGGTGAGATGAATATTCCACTCGAGCAGCTGCTTCTCACGAAGCACTGCTTTGTGGAACCGACTCCCAAGAGGATGCTTTCCTGATCACTAAAATCTTGGATTGTTCAAAGTGTGCTTTTTTTTCAATAAACTTTTCCTGTTACTTTTTAATCCCTACCTCGAGTAGCTCTTAGGCCTTGTACAGGGTGAATATTAATGTAAAAATAATTTTGAAATAAATTTGAGGTTGTAGTGATCTGTGAAGCGGCCTCTCGGGAGTATGTCCTTGTTGAGATATTTGGGAACTAGCTGCCCGAGTTTAATTTTCTTACTAATGAAATATGAAAGGAATCACGAACATTCGTCTCAGTGTAAGTGTCACGGTAGGTTTTAGCTGTGAAGGGTAAAACTAGTGGAATAAAAATTAACTAGGACATTTCCCATAGAAATAACCACAGATTAACGACTTTTCGTTTGTTGGTAAGGACATCGCAGAGTAGAAATATGTTACAGAATGCGAAGACCAAGACCAGGATGGTCAGCAATTGTTCAGATTACATCGTGGGCGTGGTATACTGACAGCGATGGATTGTCTTTGTGTGGGTTTTGAGATAGAAGTTCAAAATGACGGGGTTGTCAACAGGAATTTTGAAGCATCGATACGCTTCTCACACCCAGCTTCGAGAGACAGGCTAAGGACACACGCGGAAGGACGCGAATTTAACGAGCGGATTACGTTAGCTTGAAGTTCTTCCTCCCACTGCCTTATAGAATCGAAATTGCCACGTCTGTCCCTCTCCTCTAATAAATCAAATAAAGAGAAATAAACCGTCGTTTCGTTACTACCAATTTGCAGTTGAGTTGTGATTCTGTGACGACACGGAACGCAAGAGAAATAATTCCCTTTTGCCACCCATGTATACCTTAAATTGCAGCCGACCTGACCAGTTTTATCTCAAAATACCGAGTTAGACCTCTACCTGCCGTATAGGTCGACCCTCAAGAAGTAGGCTATCAGTGGCCAAAACCTATGTTAGGCTACAGTATACAATAATCTATGCCAAACCTACATACGGTCACACTGCTTATTTGTATATTAAGTCACTAATTGTAATATATTTCTATATGTGCCTCATAGTAAACAAATCACATATTGTAACGGTATAACTTAGCGAATATTAAATCTTTCTTTGTTAGGTCTAGTGATAAACACATTAAAGTCAACATATCAACCCCTATAAAATATTAATAACGCAGATTACACAACAAACCAGGTAGTTTGTTGATAGAGCTGATACGTATTGCATGTTATTGTAAAACACAATATCACTCTTCCGCCATTTGTATCAGGGATATGAAAAAACAATCAAATGACGTCACCAACCGCACAAGTTTTATTTGGATATATTTGTGGCAGCCTGCTGTAGGCACAGTAAGTGGTGTACAGTAATTGTTAGGAATGCTGTCGGTGGTATGGGTTTGCATACCCGCCATATAAGTCGATTTCTAGTCTCGGAGAAATTATTTTCGGCTTGAAAAGTCGAATTGTACTGTGAAGTCCACGGTATTTATTCACCTATCTTCTTGTTTCATTTTGTTTATTCACCATTTCTGTTTTCAACTCGTCGCAAACATCCTTCTACTGCGCATGTCTCATTTTATACTCTCGTCACTTCCTTTTCCTTCATAAACTTCTCTAACTTCGACTAATATATGCTTGTCTCACGGGAAGCAATTTCACATACTTTCTACATCCTACATGAACATGTAGTCTTAATTAAGCACCCACAAATAATCTCTTTCATGAAGGCAGAGTGAAAACGTTGCTCACGAGCAAACACACACGCGCGCGTGCACACACACACACACACACACCCACCCACATACACACACACATATATATATATATATATATATATATATAACGTAGGTACAAGTAATACAAGGTTGCACATGCGTACTAATGCAAAATAAAAAGAAAGTCCATTCTGTTAATGAAGTCAAGCAGCCGATTAATCAAAGTAAATATATAAAGGCCGCAATGTGAAGTTAAAGAGAAAAGAAAATACGGAATTGCAAAATAAAACAGACAAAAACAAAGTAAACGCTGATAAAACGGAAAAGGTTGAGTCAAATTTTCTCCTTTTACTGGTAAAAAATCGGAAATAGATGGAGAGATATGGAGGAGAAGGAGGAGGAGGAGGAGGAGGAGGAGGAGGAGGGAGAGATAAAGAAAAGAAGGAAAAAAGAAAAGAAAAAGAAGAATGAATGAAAGAGAAACATAGAATACAATAATAAAGAAAGGTGGAAAGAAAAGAAATCGAACAAAAAACAGAAAGAGAAACAGAAAGAAAGAAAGAAAGAAAGAAAGAAAGAAAGAAAGAAAGCGAGGGTGAAGAAAGAAAGAAAAGAGAAAGAGTGGACAAAGAAAAACCGAAAGCGACAGTGAAAAAAGGAAGGAAGAAAGAAAGAAAGCGAGTGTGAAGAAAGAATGAAAACGAGAGCGAAGAAAGAAACAAGGAAAGAAAGAAAGAAGAGAAAGTGAGAGTGAAGAAAGAAAGAGAGAAAGAAAGAAAGAAAGCGAGAGTGAAGAAAGAAAGTATGAAAGAAAAAAGAAAGAAAGTAAAAGAAAGTGACAGTGAAGAAATAAAGAAAGAAAGAAAAAGAAAGTGAGAGTGAAGAAAGAAAGAAAAAGAAAATTAGAGTAAAGAAAGAAAGAGTTAAGAAAGAATGAAAGAAAACGAGAGTGAAAAAAGAATGAAAGAAAAAGAAAGTGAGAAAAAAGAAAGAAAGAAAGAAAGAAAGAAAGAAAAAAAAAAAAGAAAGTGAGAGTGAAGAAAGAAAGACAGAAAGAAAGAAAAAGAAAATGAGTGTGAAGAAAAAAGAAAGAAAGAAAGAAAGAAAAAGAAAGTGAGAGTGAAGAAAGAAAAAGAAAGAAAGAAAGAAAGAAAAGAAATGAGAATACGATCGGAGTAGGAAAAAAAGAAAGAAAATAATTCATAATAAATGAAAAAGAAAAAAGAAAGAAAAAAGAAAGAAATGAGGAAGACAGAAATAAAATAAAGAGTAGCATTCATTTTGTCAAAATCCTGGTCAGTCTCGTTAAGGTGAGCAACTAATGCATTTCATTCGCTGTTTGTTCATCTGACATTCTTCGGGCGCCATTTATTTACAAAATTTCGAAACGAAACTTATAAAAAAAACATGGCTTTGCAGTTGGGCTACAGCTGAATTTCTCACCTTATGGGTAAATAAATAAATATCATTAGAAACAAAGAAAAGGGTTCTGAACACTTATTTAATATAAGTATTGAGTTGAAACGCTAGACAATTTCCGCAGAAGTTATGAGATTTCAAACAAGAGACATGTAGTTCTACAGACAGATGCTGGGAATACCATGGACCAAATATGTTATTAACGAAGTTTTAGAGAAAATGGAAAGAAAAAGGTCCCTTATAGTTAACATCAGAAAAAAAAAACATTTGAAATTTCTAAGTCACATGATACAGAAAGAGGGCTTGGAAAATTTGACACTCATAGAGCATATTGAAGACAAGTGAAACAGGGTAAGACAAGTAAGACAGGTAAAAACAGCGCATAACTTACCTAACGAGCCTTTTGTAAACGGATGACAGAACAGGGTTTAGGAGAGATGACAAAAAGATAATTTTTTTAAAATCGTTATCACTACAGGCAAGGCAGTAAAGTCACTGAGACACAAGAGGTCACAGAGTGTGGAAGAATTAGGAACAGAAACATTAATAATGAGCGCGAAGAGAAAAAGGTAAGCAGATGGACATGAGATAGCGATTGACATAGCATTTAAATTTTGGCAGATTAAAGTTGGTTGGAAAGCATAAAGTCGGAAGGGAGTTTCACAAGCGAGACGTGCAAGAAAAGAAACTGTTAGCATAGAATTTGCGGTTCAATCTATTTAGCTCAACAGTAAATTGGTTAGATCTCGACAGTCTAGTACTGCACTTAAATTCAATACCATAGCGATGAGCTCATCCGAAAAATTACCATAAAATTATATATAGAAAAAAACACAGCGGTGGAAAAGTGACTGAAGCTGAGCCGCTAGATCAGGGTCAATAATATAGCTGATTTTTTTTTTCATTTTATCAAGGAGCTCAAGGTAAATAGCAGGGGAACCGGACCATATGTGGCAGCAATATTCTAAGCATGGACGAGTGGTAGACTTATAGATATGTAAGATAGATTCTGGAGAGAAGAATATTGCTGATTCTTCTTTGAATCTTATCAAGGAGCTCAAGGTAAATAGCAGGAGAACCGGACCATATGTGGCAGCAATATTCTAAGCATGGACAAATGGTAGACTTATAGATATGTAAGATAGATTCTGGAGAGAAGAATATTGCTGATTCTTCTTTGAATCTTATCAAGGACAAGGTAAATAGCAGGAGAACCGGACCATATGGCAGCAATATTCTAAGCATGGACAAATGGTAGACTTATAGATATGTAAGATAGATTCTGGAGAGAAGAATATTGCTGATTCTTCTTTGAATCTTATCAAGGAGCTCAAAGGTAAATAGCAGGAGAACCGGACCATATGTGGCAGCAATATTCTAAGCATGGACAAATGGTAGACTTATAGATATGTAAGATAGATTCTGGAGAGAAGAATATTGCTGATTCTTCTTTGAATCTTATCAAGGAGCTAAAAGGTAAATAGCAGGAGAACCGGACCATATGTGGCAGCAATATTCTAAGCATGGACAAATGGTAGACTTATAGATATGTAAGATACATTCTGGAGAGAAGAATATTGCTGATTCTTCTTTGAATCTTATCAAGGAGCTCAAGGTAAAATAGCAGGGAGAACCGGACCATATGTGGCAGCAATATTCTAAGCATGGACAAATGGTAGACTTATAGATATGTAAGATAGATTCTGGAGAGAAGAATATTGCTGATTCTTCTTTGAATCTTATCAAGGAGCTCAAGGTAAATAGCAGGAGAACCGGACCATATGTGGCAGCAATATTCTAAGCATGGACAAATGGTAGACTTATAGATATGTAAGATAGATTCTGAGAGAAGAATATTGCTGATTCTTCTTTGAATCTTATCAAGGAGCTCAAGGTAAATAGCAGGAGAACCGGACCATATGTGGCAGCAATATTCTAAGCATGGACAAATGGTAGACTTATAGATATGTAAGATAGATTCTGGAGAGAAGAATATTGCTGATTCTTCTTTGAATCTTATCAAGGAGCTCAAGGTAAATAGCAGGAGAACCGGACCATATGTGGCAGCAATATTCTAAGCATGGACTAATGGAAGATATGTTAGATGAAGAGGAATATCGTCTCGTACGACACAGTGAACCAACTTTCTTAGCAAATGACCTAGCAATTGATTTAATATAGTCTTTGCATTTCATGTCAGCTAAGAACGTTAGCGCGAATAGGTGCAACAAGTCACTTTTCGGGAGGTTAGCATCAGCCATGCTAGTGGAAATCAAACAGGAGTCTCTTAGATCATTAATGGAGAGAAGTTCAGTTTTGTAGGCGTTAAAATTAACAACCCATATTTGCTCCAGTTAATGACAGACTTAAAGTCGTTTTGGACATCGGCTGCCATTTTGAAGAGCTACAAAGAACCAAAAATTGTGGATGGCCATGAGCGCCAATGTCCTGAAAGAATACATGATATAGAAAAAAATGCAAAAAGAAGGAAACAATGAATTAAAAAATGAAAGAAAGTTCAGAGAGAGAGAGAGAAAGAAAGAGAAAGAAAGAAATAAAGACGATAGGAAAAATCTCCAGACGCTTGAAAAAAAAGAATATATATATATATATATATATATATATATATATATATATATATATATATATATATATATAAACAACCAATTGACGAAGTGGATGAGATTTTATGCCACCTCGTTCTCAAGATGCTTCGCTGTCCATAGGAACTTCTGCTGCTACCTAGCGGCAAGTGATGGAAGATTTTGACATCAAGGGTTAGCAGATTAAGCGTGAAGTCATTATCTGTCAGCCATCAGCTGCATCCAGTCGAGCGAGAATAACGTTAACGAAGCGAGAAATCGCGAGATGAGTATAAATAAATACATAAATAAATAAAAGCGAAAGCAAAAATGGTGGCGGTGAAAAGACATTTTAAGCGCTACATTCCGGCGCCTTTGTTTTTATATCTGACTTGAATTGTTCATGTTTTCTATCTTATTTTGGTGTTTATTTATTTAATAAGAAACCAAAAAAAAAAAATAGATATGAATATAGCAAAAATATAGAACTGTCTGCTGTCGTTTAATGTTTATTTTCTTAATTTCTTCATTTCACGTTTATTTTCCGGGTCTCTTTTATTTTTTAACCATTCGCCTGGAACTAAATTTTAGCATGTGTTATCATTTGTCTTTTTTTTTTCTTTATTCACCTGCTCTCTGTTTTTCATATTTATTTATTTATTTTATAATGTTCTTTCTTCCACCCAGATTTCGTTTTCTTTCTTCCATTTTCTGTTTCTTTCTGTCTTTTTTCTCATATTTGATTTTCTTTCATTTCTTTCCTTCTTTCTTTCGTTTTTCTTTCTTCTTCTTCCGTTCTCTTTCATTCACATTTTTTCTTCTCTTTTGTCCTGACTAGCATAAAATAATTTCTTTCTTTCATCGCTTTTCTTCTTTTCTCTCGTTCGTTTTTTCATCGTTTCTTCCTTCGTTTTTCGTTTCTTTTTACCTTCCTGCTATTCTTTTTTACATCTTTATTCTTATCTATATTTTTTTCAATCTAAACTTCTTACATTATTATAGTTTCTTTTTCTTTCTTTGTTCTTTCTTACATTCTTTCTTTCTTTCTTTCTTCGTTTGCTTCCGTTCTCTTTCATTCACATTTCTTTCTTTATCTCTTTTTTTCTTTCTAGCATAAAATAATCTCTTTTTTTATCGTCTTCAGACACCTTGTCGTTTTCTTCTTTTCTCTCTTTCCTTTTTTCATTGGTTCTTCTTTCGTTTTTCTTTTTCCCTTTCTCTTATTCTTTTTTACATTTTTATTCTTATCTATAATTTTGGCAATCTAAAATTCTCATATTATTGGTCTTTTTTTTTTCTTTCTTTCTTTCTTTCTTTCTTTCTTTCTTTCTTCACTTTTTCATTCAAATTCCTTTCTTTTATCCTTCTAACATAAAAATGTCTTTCTTTTATCAACCTCTGACTTCTTTTCGTTTTTCATCGTTTCTTCCTTCGTTTTTTCTTTTCTTTTTTCCTTCCTGTTATTTTTTTTACATCTTTATTCTTAGCTATATTTTTTTCAATATAAACTTCTCATATTATTATAGTTTATTTTTCTTTCCTTCTCTCTTCTTCTTTTTCTTCTTCACCCTTTCATTTACATTTTCTTGTTTTATCTTTCTAGCATAACAGAATGTCTTTCTATTATCGACTTCTCTCTCTTCATCGCTTTTCTTCTATTTTCTCTTTCGTTTTTTCTTTTCTTTTTCCTTCCAGTTATTCTTTTTTTTTAAATTTATAAACAGTTATTCTTCTTTTATTCTGATCTATAATTCTTTTAATCTAAATTTTTCTCATTATTATAATTTCTTTTTTATTCTTTCTTTTTTTTTATTCTATTTTCTTTTTTATTCTCTTATTTTCATTTTATTTTCCATATTTCATACTTTTCTTTCTTGAACTTTTATCTGCCTATATGTGTTTCTTTTATAGTTTTTCTTTCGTTCTTTCTTTCTATTTTTCTATTTTTCTTTCTTTCTTTCTTTCTTTCTTTCTTTCTCAACATTCGCTTTTTATCATCTTCTCTGTTTCATTGCCCATTTATTTCTTCCTCCTTTTATTTTTTTCCTTCTACTTTCTTTGAATTTTATCCTTCTTTCACCTTGCAGCGTTTATGCTTAATTTTCTTTCTTTATTTATTTCTATTTCTTTCTTTCTATTTCTTTCTTTATTTATTTATTTATTTATTTATTTATTTATTTATTTATTTATTTCTTTATTTATTTCTTTGTACACTTTGAGTTTCTTTCTTTCTTTTTTGCCACGCTTCGACTTTCTTTCTTTCTTTCTTTCTTTA